GGCGGGGCGCGGGGCATAGGCAGGGACAAATACGGCAAATGGAAATGGAAATGGAAATGGTTACTTCCAACCAGAACTGCCCAAGGAGAACCGTTTCGAACCGAACCGAACCGAACTGAGCAGAACAGAACTAAAAAATACAATCGTAGCAATAGAAATTAAAAGCCAAAGCTGGCCACAAAAAAAAAAAAGAGCCAGAGGCGTGTGCCCCCCCCCCGAAGCTGTTCCGATGGGGGGTTGACGAGCGAGCGACATTGATTGAAAGCTTTCACTTGCTTGCGCTTTTAAAATGGAGCGGAACGGAACGGAGCCCACGCCATGTGGAACCCTGGAACACTCCTTGAGCTATTTGCATATTAGTCGCACCCGTCCTCCGCCTCCGCCTCCTCCTCCTTCTCATCCAATGAATTAGCAGTGGATAAAGATGTGGCCAGACTGGGGCTGAATGATTTAAGCGGAAGGAATCAGACATGGGGTGGGTTCAAGGGGAGCCAGACTGAAATTAAATTTCGATCTGTCGCCTATAAATCACTTTCCACTTTCGCCACTGGCTCCTGCTCTGCTCTGCTCTGCACTTGTAGTTCCCCGAGTACATCCTCTTCAGGACAGCTCTTTAAGAGAGATCGTCCCCCCACCACTACTTTTAATCCACTCGCTGTGCTTCAGCTTGTGGTCTTTATGCCCTGGTTAGCCCATCAGTTGCTTGGGAGCATATTGTTCTTGGGTACAGGCTTCCCAGGAGTTTCCCCACCGTGTCCTTGCATGAGGAAATTTGCATATGGCTGGCAGTGGGCGTGGATGGGGACGTGAACGTGGACGGGTGATATTATGATAGTGATAGATATAATCAAGTCGGGCAAACATCAACAAAATATTATGTTACCCGCTGGCAGGAGCTGATGTTCCTTCTGGTGTCCTCCCATATCCTGATATACCCCCAGCCAACACATGGCGTGTGTGTATCTCCTTCCCTTCCCCTTCCCCTTCCTCTTCTCTTCCTTCCGTTCCTTCCCCCCACAACCAGCTGCCAGGAATGAGGCAAAACAACAAAAACAATCAGCTAAAATGGCAAAAAAGGCAAAAAGCCGCGACAGCGTGACTAAAATGCGCACGTCAATCCTTTTTTCGCTGCCCCCCTCCCCCCTGAAACCCCACACCCAATGCCCCACTGTGACACTGCCCCCCTCCCCGGCCTGCTGTAGTAGTACCCGGTAATCGGAAGGAGCAGAAGTATATTCAATTATGGTGAAACATATGGCACTGAGCGAACTTTGGGTCTCACTTGGGCCACTTGCCACTGGCCCAAGTTGATGGTGCAGTTCCCAGTTCCCAGTTCCCAGCTCAGGGGGGCGAGAGTTAGCTACCACGAGTATATAGGGCATCTGATAGTCGGTTCGTCGGTTCGAATGAAGGAATCATCTTGGCATGGGTTTTTTGTGTGTGTTTGGGCGCGCCAGGAGTCGGCCAGGAGTCGGCCAGGAGTCGGCCATGTTTACGGTGCTTTTTAAATGGACAGCAGACGCCGACGACAGCAAACAAATGGCCGAGGCGAGAGTGGCAGAGGGGGGAAACAATGGCGGGAAGAGTGAAGAAAGCGGGCAGCAGCGAGAGTGGGGGGGTAAAGGTCGAGCAGAACAGATTGGGAATGGGAACGGGAATGGGAACGGGAATGGGATCGGGAATGGGGCAAAAGGCAGACGAAATTGAGCGCAACTAAAGTGTCACCGTTAATTTGCTGAGCGAAACGAACACAGAATAAAACTCCGACATCGAAATTGAAATTGAAAAGCATGAACAATGAGAAGAGGAAGCCCAAGAAGAGGATGGCGGGCAGCAGCGAGCGAAGGAGAGGGCCAAAGGGAGGCGGACAATTAGCACGCATTGCCCATAACCATAAACGACAAAACAACAATTAGCAGCAACTATTTTCGCTTATTGGCCCTAAACAAGAGACAGAGACCGACCTCAGGAGAGAGCACGAGGCAGCCCCAAGCAAAAGGAGAGCAACCAGCGGGCGAGAGAGAGAGAGAGAGGGCAGCAGCCACTGACCCAGACGGCCCTGCAGACAGAGAGTTGTCAAATGATAAGGAAATTTCATTTGTAATTAATACTAAAGGCGCGACCGTCAAAGGACATCGAGCGGGAGAGAAAGAGGCAGCCACAAAAGCGACAACCACAAACCGAAGCGAAGCCAAGAAAACAGCGAGACCGACAAAGAGGGGCGCTGTGGGAGGTGGGCAAGCGGATGCGGATGCGGACAGAGCGCTGACTGCCATGCCACTGCTGGCCAGGATACCCGCCCTCACGCCTCACGCTTTGGGGGCGCAGCCATACAAATTTGTTCAACATTTTGCTGCCCTTTATGATGGCGATTGGGAGCGAAAGCGCAAGGAGCAAACAGGAGGGGAACGAACCAGAGAGAGTGAAAGCAAGGAGAGTCCATATTTATTTTTCTAATATGTGTACAAAGATCGTTCAATAGCAGTTTTCTCTCTTTTTCTCTTCAGCATTTCCCTTAATTTATAATTTTTAATTTTGTGAATCCTTTGGCCAGTGGGAAATTGATTGCATTTGCCCCTGCGACTGTCGCATCTTCCCCCAATAATTGCATCCAAATCTAAGACTAATTTTAATAACTATTAACTATTGCACTGCCTCCAAATGACCCCCTTAAGGCCAAAAACCCCAGAGTTTAGCCCTCGGTGAGTCATTAATTTTCGCTTAAATTGTAAATAAAAAGCACAGCACACAAGTTGCATGCGGAAAAATAAAAATAAAAAGGCAACCAACTGCTGGGTGAGGAGGCAGGGGCAAGGATAACAGGAGGAGAGCGAATAGTTTAGCCTGGATTCGGATTCGGATACGGAATCAGTATCAGGATCAGGGCTGCTGCTGCTGCTGCGGTTTTCCGCTCAAGTTTTTGTCCCACTTTCAGATTCCGCTTCAGATTCAGTTTCAGCTTCTGTTTCAGTTTGAGGGTTATTCCGGGTCTCGGTCTCTCAGTTTCGGGGCTGCAGAAAAACATTAAAATGGAATTAAGCTGCAAGTGTGCCACAAGAGGCAGTCGGTCGAGGCCATGTAAATCGCAGGGCGCAACATTCTGCCACAGCAACAATTTGTCGACAGCGAGGTTGCCATTGCCGTTGCCGTTGCCCTGCCGCCCCACCACCCCATGCCATCCTTTCGGTCGGTGCTTGGGGGTTCGGTGGCAGGGGGGGGTGGCACTGCAATGACGCAGAGCATTTAGAAATCCATTAATTTCAATCATTGCCCATGACATTGCATTATTATTATTATTATTATTGTTATTACGCTCGTTGATGTTGCCTTTTACTCGTTCTTACTTTTTCACCCCTTTTCACACTTTTTACAATTTTTCTGCCCTCTCACTTCCATCGGAAACTTTCAAGGTTTTTCCTGTGCTCGTTTATGTTGCGTTGCTCTCCTACAGAAATATTTCAAGGGGCCGTTACTCTCGTAGAACTTTCCAGTTCGCCCTTCACATTTATTGCAAGCAGATCCGGTCCGATCCGATCCGATCCGATTCATTATTTATCGATTATGATGATCAGCCCCAATGCTTCGTGGCGAATTCTTATGCGATATTGTTGCCCTTTTCATGATGGATAGCCCTTAGGGTATCTCCCATCCCTGCCGCCTCTCACCTGCCTGCAGACTTGCCGTCCACAAAGATATCTCGAGTGGTGGAACTCGAGTTGCAGTGCTCCAAGCTGTTCCCTGGAGCGCACAGCACAGCACAGCACCCCCGTCGGAAAAGTGCCACCCTTCCGGGAACTGCAGTGCATTTCACACTGCACTTTGGGGGGGGATGCCAGGAATGGGCAACGCGTTTTAATGACTCAACATTTCTTGACTTTGATTCGAGTCGCGGAAGGAAAGTAAAAAGTGCAGGTTGCCTCGTCTCGTCTGAAGAAGCAGGAAAGGCGCCCGGTGGGCGGTGGGCGGTGGGCGGCCATGGGGAGGGTAGGGTGAGGCTGTTTTGGCCAAAGGCATTGGCCCGCTTTTTTGTCGGCTGTCAAAACAACAAAGTGCTTCAGCTTCGGGGCCAGAAAAACACAGAGAGAGTGAGGGGCCAAAAAGGCAAAAAGTGTCGATGAATGTTAAAGTTAACAAGTGACGGAAGTGAATTTACAGGACGGGGCGGCAAGGAGGCAAGGAGGCAAGCAGGGCAAAAAGGCAGCCACAAAACAAAGGCAAAGGCAATGGCAAAAACGAAACGAAACGAAACGAACGAGAAACAAGAACGAACACGAAAAAATTAAAAGGCAAGTAAGCAAAAATCATTTGCACAGAGTGCAGGACGAAAAGCACAACACGAAGGAGCAGCAGCACCCAAAAAAAAAACAGAAAAGAGGGTGGACTGAGGGGTGAATGGGGTTGGATGCGCTGACTGCATGGAGGAGGGAGGGAAAGTGTAGGCAAAAAGTAGGACTCGGACAGCCCTGACATGAGATGGATGGAACTGAAGTTTCCGAATCGATGGGCGCTGGTGGGGGGGGAGCAGTGATTCCGATGAAGAAGGGATCCTCACGTTGAAAGATCCAGATTATAGGATATTGAGTATGGGATAGATATAAAGGTGCTGGATTGAAGAGCGTAGGACTACGAAGGCCGATATCGATGCGGATGCGAAAAAGAATTGATGGGCGAAGCCATGCCTGGGAACACTGACCATGGCAGATGGGGAGGGTGGGGAAGCTGGGAGTATGTAAAGGATATGTGAGGGATAAAGATATTAAATCACACCGAGGCACTGTGCAGAGGCCCCTTCCATGGCCCCCCAGTGTGCCTGCTGTTGGACTCCCCCGTTGATCCGCGTGTTAGCCGGAGGATTGCTTGTCTTTGCCTTTGCCTGGGTGGCATTATTATGTATTACTTTAAGCCAAGTGTGGGGCCACGGCCCCATCTACCGCACCGCATTGTTGCCGACTTATGGATCAACTCTGACTCCCCTCTCCCGTCTCTCTTTCTCGTTGCAGTGCTGCTCGCCGTCAGCTGGGAGGATTGGTGGACATACGACGGAATCTCAGGTAAGCTGAAACCCTTAGCCCTAGCCCCTAGCCCCTCTCTCCTACCCATGCCCCTTCCCCAGCATCAGCATCTGGGTTTAAGTTTCATAAATACCAACAACAAAGTAAATTTTAATCAAAGCTCACAGAGAGAGAAAAAGCACTGAGAGCTGTCGGGCGGACAACAATAACCACGACGGAAGGACCGAAGAACGGACGGACGGACGGACGGACGGACGGACGGACGGACGGAAGCGGAAAGTAAAATTTTCTGCCAACGAGCAGCACGCGTCGCTTAAGCAACAAAGTAAAGAGAAAAGAGCGCCGCCCACGCCCCCGCCAGTACTCTCTCTTCGCTCCACGGTACTTTGGCAAGAGAGGGAGCACTGCACCTGTGTGTGAGAGCGGGGAATACTACACCTCTGCAAGAGGGGAAGAGAGGCCAAAGCCATGGGATGGGATGGGATGGGATGGGATGGCATTGTTGTTGCCGGTGTAAAACGATTTTCCCAGCGACTGAAGCTGCACGCGTGAACTGCATGGAAAAGGGCTGCATGCCGGTGGGGGCATGGCTCCCGCAAGGAAAAGCACCATCGAGAGACGAAGCCGATTTGCAGCTGTCAAATGGAAAGGCAGACAAAGTAGGGTAGGGAGAGAGCGCGAAGAAGGCGGACGGGTGGAGTCACCGGAGTAGTAGCTGGAGCAACTTTCCTTTTTTTTTTTTTGCGCCATTGTCTGGGGCATATCCCCTGGAACGTGATAAGCAAGGACTCCAGGACGCCAACGGGGGACTCCCAACTGAGACTAAGACTGAGACTGCCAACAGGGAGAGATGCAGAGATGGAGGCCGCGTACATTTCGCCATGTGTCACACGGGGCAAGGCAGAGCTAGTCTCGGCTGGGCTGGGCTGGGCTGGGATGGGCTTGGGAAAAAGCGAGGCGAAAGGTCCGTGGAGATTATGTCCAGACAGGACGGCAGACAGCCGATAAGCATGGCTCTCTTTCTTGCACATAGCCACTCTGCCTGGCACTCTCTATCGCTCTCTCCCACTCTCTGTCGCTCTCATTCTCCCTGTGTGTGTGTGTGAGAGCATCCTTCTTAATCTTATTAGAGAGCGACGCCATTTGCACAAGACAAATGCATAAATAAGTTCAAGTGCTTTGAATTTTGAATTGGATTTCGGAACACCCCACGAGCCGCGGGGGATTTCCCGGGAAATCAGAGAGAGACGAGGAGACAAAGAGAGCGGGAGGTGGGCATCGAAAAAAAAACATCAAACATAGAGAGAGAGCGAAGCGAATGCCAGCTGATCTCCTGCTAAAAGTCCCTTCCAGAATTGAAGGGAAACAGCGGCGAGAGGGACACGCAAAGGGCAGGGGTTGGGGAGGAAGAATATGGCTGGGGACATAGTAACACGTGTTGTCAACAAATTGCAACCGAAATCCAGGCGAACTTTGTGTCTCTTTGGCATAAATAAATTTGCATAAGCATTGCATACATGGCAGGAACAGCAGCAACGGCAGCAGGAACAGCAGCAGGAACAGCAGCAGGAACAGCAGCAGGAGCAGGAACAGGAACCAGGACTCGCGACCAGGAAAATCCCTCGCTGGCGGAGTGTGAGTGTGATACCCAGCTGCAACGTGCCACTTGTTTAACGTGATTTGCACTCGCAACGAGCCAAATAAAGGCAACCCAAACGAAATCAAACGAAGCGTGCTGCATACCTCAAGGCCCACCCAACTCCAGCTCCAGCTCCAGTTCCAGTTGCTGCTCCAACTTCAGTTCCTGCAACTCCCAGGAACCGACAAACAGCAGGGAACCAGTAAGAGCAAGCCAGGACCAGCCAGCCAGTCAGCCAGCCAGCGAGTCAGCCAAGCCACTAATGTTGTTAATGGCTGCTAAAATCGTTTGGCAATTGCCTCATTGACTCGAAGCCAGCCCGTGCCCCTTTACCGCCATCCGAAACACGACGCCAGACCGCAATTTAATAGACTCGAGACTGCAATATCCTCCAGCGCTATCTGCTACTTTTCATGCAACTCCGCCATCGCGTGCTGCAACGCGGTGCCATCAGTGGTGGTGACGTGACACGAGAAATCCGACATCGAGGGATCTGCGCGCTGCGCTGATACGCTTCCGATTCAAAGAGATGGCAAATCTTTGTGTTCTACTTGCTTTGATTTTTGGAGATTTTTATAATCGAGAAACGTCTGGCAATTTCTTCGGGGGTTACGAATCGACTTGTCGCGTCACGCCACCATCTCTAGTCAGCATCTGGGGGCTAACTCTTTTTCCTCTTGTTCTCCCATGGGTTTAGTGTTATTTTTGCTATACTTTTCATTGGGTTTCGCCGCGTTTTCTTTTCGGTGGCTAATGCGATGGCATCGCTGGGGTCAACAATCGCTTAAACGCGTGTACGTGGCATATCTATGATTGAAGCTTTTGATTGCGTCGGCCTCTGCCACTCCCGATATGGCGGCGCGGCTGACGCGAACGTGTTGATTCTCAGGCACACTCCTGTCCTCTGCTCTCGCTCTCCTGGCCATTCGCCCCGTGCAGCACTACGTGTCGTATACGCAATGAGCGCCCTCAGGCGAGTCATTTTTATGGATGGATGTGGCTCCAGCTCCAGCTACGGCTACGGCTACGGCTCTGCATCGCTGCAGCTGCATCTGCGGATGGGCAGGAGGTGCAAGTGGCTCTGTGTGGGAATGTGTGCCATAAATGGGATTACAAGTAGATGGAGTGGATGAGGATGAGGATGAGGATGGGTATGGGTATGGGGATGCGATGAAAGGTTTTATTCTGGAATGGAACAGTCTAAGCCGCCAGAGAGAGTAGCATAATCGGTTTATTTTAAGAGAAAAATACATGAACACTAAATAGAATGGAATTGAAGATATGTGTGAAAGGCTTACACATGTTGAAGCCCAATGGAAACCCTGATGGGCCATGAGGGAGTGCCAAATAATGGATTGTAAATGGAGGAGGAGCAATGGAGGGATATTGAAACCATTCATCACACACCGTGTATGATCTGCATGGATGATGAAGCTGTGCAAATGAAATGAAACACGCAATAAAGGAGCTTTCTTTCACAGTGTTCCCTGCGGCACACTGCTGCTTCTCCTGCCCCTCCTCTGCTTCATCCTGCGACAATTGTTTAGACCAAGCTCGACTTGATTTCATATTGCCATAAATTAAGCTCCCAGCCAGGATAAAGTTGGCCAAAACCGAAACCAAAGCCAAAGCCAACGACAGACAGAACCGAAGATAAACCTGCAATTTTACTGTTTGCCCCATGGTCAGACCCGACATGCGGCAGCAAGGAAGGGGTGGCGGGGGGGGCGAAAACTAAGCAAACCGCACGAAATTAAAGCAGTCAGACGGAGGGACGGGGGTTTGGGTTAAAAAAAGGAGCGCAAGGACATGGACACGGTCATGGCTGTGTGGCCAGAATCAAACACAGAGACGGGTGGGGTGACGGGGGAGGTAAAACCAAAAAGGCGAAACCGACGCAGGCCAACACCTATGCAGATGCAGACAAATATTGTAATGGAGGTCAGGTCAGCCCCCCCTCCTCCCCACCATCTCTCTCTCTCTCTCTCTTTCTGTTTGGCCATTATACAATTTGTGGCAAGTTTTTGCTGCCCCATAGCCCCATGCCCAATGCCCTGATTGTGGTGGGCAAAAGAAAACTTTTGGGAACTATTTGAGGCAAAGTGGGTTCATAAATCTCCTCGGCGCCTGTGTGCAAACGCAAACGCAAACGCAATCGCAAAAACGCATCGATTTGACAATTTTCAAAGCTGAAGACGGACTTTCCCCATTGCAGGTCCTGCCTTCTGGGGCCTCATCAATCCGGAGTGGTCGCTGTGCAACAAGGGCAGACGTCAGTCGCCGGTAAATCTGGAGCCGCAGCGCCTGCTCTTCGATCCCAACTTGAGGCCCATGCATATCGACAAACATAGGGTGAGTACGACTATAAGTAGTGCCTTGAAGATCAATGCATTTCCACTCACATCTGTGCTCTCTGTGCGCTCTGTTCTCTGCAGATATCCGGACTAATCACCAATACCGGACACAGCGTCATCTTTACGGCCGGCAACGATACGGTGGCCAACTACGATGGCATGCAGACGCCAGTGAACATATCGGGGGGGCCGCTGTCGTACCGCTACCGCTTCCATGAGATCCACATGCACTACGGCCTGAACGATCAGTTCGGATCGGAGCACAGCGTGGAGGGCTATACATTCCCAGCGGAGGTAAGTCGACGAGACGTCTGTCAATTTCAATTTTCTCCACAAAGGGTGCAGACACCAGCAACAGCATCGGCATCGGCACCGGCACCGGCGCCTGCTCTGTCTCCAAATCGAGCGGAGGCCTAAATTTGGCATTGGACACTTTGACACTCGGGCCTTGGATTCTATTTCGGTACGATGTACGATGTACGGTGTATGTTAGTCTCTGCCTGTCAACAGATTTCTTTTAGCTTCCAGCCCCCCCCACCCTTTAACAATTCAATTGTGTGTGATAAGAGGCGGCTGGTGGGGGTGCAGGAGGCTGCTGCTGGTGCTGGTGCTGGCACTGGGGGTTCATTGAGTCAAGTTTTTCAACTTTTCTTGCGTCATTTCTTTTCCATTCTGTCTCATTGGCCGCCCCATTGTGCTCTGTGTCGTCCTGGCTCTAAACTTGTTACCAACTTCAGCTCCCCCTGCGCGCGACCGTGCCACAAGCCTGCTCAAATATTTACACAGATAAACGAGCGGAAGTGTATTTGATCAGCATTTAACGTAGCAAATGTCGATTTGTCGCTGACAAAAAAATAAGACAGCCAGTGAGGAAAAATACGAGCGCAAAGTCAAGAAGCAAAGTCTAACAAAAAAAGAGAAAATAAAATAAAGGAGTCGCAGGAATCGCAGGAATCGGAAATCGAAGCAGCATATACCCTTCCAGATTTATTGCTGGTACATAAATACATACATATTGTATGTATGATGTATGTAGTCATCAGATCTGGATCTAGTCTTAATATGTAATATGCACTCATGGAAATACTCCCCAATGGGCAGTGCAATGATTTGTTAATTTTCAAAATACCCTCGAGAAGGGTATTCAGAAAATGTTGTCTGTCGCCACTTGGTAGACGGGATTAGGTAGGGGGAGGAGGGTGCAAACTTCATAACTTCAGTCCTCAATGTTATCATCAACGGTCTGACAGGTTCAAGATTTTACGCGAGAGAGTGTGCTGCCCTCTCTCTCTCTTGTCCTGGGCTTTGATTTGTCTTGCTTTGTTCCCTCTGTCTCTGCCTCTGGCCCGGCCCATTGCCATGCCGAGTTGCTTTCGCGACAAATCATTCACACTTTTCAGAGTGGAGAGAAATCTTTGGAAGATTGGAATAAACATACATACATACACAAGCACATATTCGCACATATGTACATATGCTGCTACATATTCTCTACCTGCTGCGATCTAGCTTCGGCTTTGCGACTGCCGATCGGGTGAACGGGAGAGTGGGAGAGCAGGAGAGCGGGAGAGCGCTTGTCTGCATGTTGAAGTGGGCACGAGAGATTTTATGTCTAAGCTTAGTCGATTCCGTTATGCGCTCGCTCTCTGGTTGTGGTCGGACTGCACTTGCTGCAGCCAGAGAGCCAGCGGCAGAGTGTGAATGAGTTGAGTCAGGTGCGTTTTAAGTACAGCTTGGACACAGACACTATATGTACATACATACATACATACATATGCACATATCTATTTTAAATTACTCTTCTGTACATATATTTATGTTTTACACACATGTACCTCTGATTTATTTTCATTTAAATCCCACTGTGAATGATTTCACTGTGCCATCAACTCCAGAGGTTAAGGTCTGCCTGCTCTGCCTGTTCTCTGATGATTTTGTTGGCGTATTATTTTATTTGTACATTGTTTTTAGGGCACAAGTGGGGTAGCATATTTATGTGTCACATGGCAGAACGGCAGACGGAGAGGTGGGGGGGGTTGAGTTCTCTCTTACAGACGTCGACGCAGACACCTTGTCTGCCGGCACCACAGCCCCATCCCCGTCCCTTGCACGGCATCCATCGCCTGGCGGATGAACACATGCGTGCTTCCTTCTGTTTGCCTCCCCTCCGGCTTCACGAAAGCTTCCTTATGATTTTCCCATGCCGCCTGTTTCTGCCTGTTTCCTTCTGTTTGCCTCTCTTCCCTTGCTTTCTCCTCTTCCTATAAGAGAGATTCCTTGTTGTTTGTCAAATATGATTTAACCTTTCTCTTAATGCTCTCCTCTTGTTGTTGTTCTTGCTGCTCTTGTTCATTTTGATGTCAAGTTCATGCGCTCACACATGCTCTCGCGCTTCAGTTGATTTTGCGAGCAGTTTATTAAAAATATGCAAATACGCGACTTTTAAAGGGCAGACGGTCGGAGAGGGGGAGTCACAAAAGAGTGGTGAGTGGGAGAGAATGAACAAAGCATTTCTGATTACGGTTTTGAGTACAGTCTCAGTCTCTCCCAGCAAGGTATATTACATAGTGGGTGCAGCAAAGCTTTTCTGCATGTAAAAGGCTGTCCCTCTTGGACTGTCATACCAAAGATCCTACATATAACACAACAAGATGCGTAACGACCGTACTGCTGAGTACGGGTATGGAAGTAGAGTCGCGTCCCCAGAAGCGACTTACGACGTTCCTTCTCGGTTTTTTTCTCATCGTGAGGCATCTTGTTGTGTCATAGAATCGTTGGCCATACCACTATTTGATGTACCTTGTCCCTCTTTCTGCTTTCTGCTTTCTGCACTCTTCACTAATTTGGCTCTTGCTTGCAGCTGTCCAAGATGGGCCCTAAGTGATACCCATTGATTTGATGGCCCCCAAAAGACATGCTGAGACAAAATTGTTGCCCCAATTCCAATTAATTGCAACACTTTTGCTATTTGTCACGCTTTCTGCTCTCTCTCGCCATAATCTGCAGCTGCTGCCTTGGCCAGTAGGCCAAGTTCTGCCTCGACTGCAACTCCAATTAGTAAATGGCCCTGTTAATAAACTCATTATTTTCAGATGCTACCCGATTGAGAGCTGCACGAAAGAGAGAGTTCTGGGGATCTCTGAATTTTATATCATATATTATGTCATAAAAAAATGCAATTTATTTATTCCTTCAATCATCATCAGGCATTTTTATTTGTAGTATTGCCACGAATATCAGAGTTAATTCTCCTCCACGAAATTCGAAAAACTTGCGAGTAGTTGCGAGTAGTTCTGAGAACTCTTCTATGGAGTCGAGGAGGTCCTCGGAGCGGAGCTTAGCCCTCTGTGCTCGGATTGGATGCTGTCATCTGTCTGGCGGTGCTCAGCCACTTGACTTGACTCGAGTCGAGTCGAGTTGAGTTGAGTCGAGTTGGGATTGGGTTGAGTGATGACACAGTTTTCATTTTCATTTTCATTCCCATTAGCATTTCGTTTTCGCTTCGTTGTCGTCATGCGGCGCCTTTGTCTCCTCTCGACAGCCAGCGAACAGGCAATCAAAAGTGAACCGCCCCCCCCCTGCAACCGACTGCAGTTGCAGCGACGGGCTGCCACAACAGGCTGCCACAGCAGGCGGCGGAGCGGCGTCAGACAGCAAACAAATAACGTTATAAATCTGTTGCATGTCAGCAGTTGGTGACTGTCTCCGGCAGTAGAGAAGAGTAGAGTAGAGCAGAGCAGAGAGTGGAATGGCGTGGCGTGGCGTGGGCGGTGGACCCTCCCACTGCCGCCAATGTCAACGCAAATTAATTAGAAATCCGGCAAGAGGCCACGCCACGTCCGTCCCGTAATCATCTGCCTCCGACGACTGACGACTGCCGACTGCCGACAATTAGACAATAATGAAGTATGCGGTGTATTATTTTGGTTAAATTAAGACTGCGACTCGCTTCTGGTAGGGCTTCCACCTGGACAGTTGCAATTTCCTCATTCATTTTCCGATTGGGAATTGATAGCTTTGAATGCCTCTTTTCCCATCGCCCCATTTGATTTTAATCCGTTCGATGCCTGCCATGGGGATGGGATTGGGAATGGGAATGGGTAGGGCTCTGCTCTGCTGTTGAAGGTTCTCCTCAAAGAGCTCAAAATCTGAACTCAAACTGAAATTGAAACTAAAGATGATGTATTCATCTGTGAGATTCAGGTAAAATGGAAATTTAATTTCCAAACTGCATTGCATATCGAATATCATAATTACATTCCTACTCGTAGCAGTATTCTAGGTCATCTAAGACATTTGGCTTCCAAATACAAATTTCTACTGTTGATTGAATCTAAATAAGGCACAGCAATGCCTTTGGGGCTTGGAGTCATTACAGAGTGTCAAGTTTTGATTCAAATGTCAAAACACATGTATTTTGGTCCATTAGACAAACGACTGAGGGGAGCACTTAAAATGAAGCCAAAATGTGCACAATTAGCAGGAAATATCAAAAATTTGATATCCACATTCAATACATAAAATCTCATGCAGCGATTCCTTAAGGGACAGCTTGATGAAGCGGTTCATTGGATGCTCGAATGAGCGACCTGCCAAGTACTCCCAGCAGCCAGCAGCGTGCCTGCCTGCCTGCCTGTCAGACCGTAACGAAAGCCTCCTTAATGACCCGGGCCCAGAATTTGATCAGCCTTAATGAATACGTAATTGGCAATTTTAATTAATCCCGACGAAATCCGCACAAGATTGCAGCCGTGTCTTGGATTTCGTTGGAGCCGTTGTCATAGGATGCCACCAGGTGGGTTGATGGCCTGCTAGGCTGACGCTAGGGCTGATGGGTTAATGGGCGGATGAAGGCGGGAAGTAATCAGAGGATGCGTTATTTCTATATCCAATGCACAGCTGCTGGATTTTGATTTGTTTTTAGGGGGTTTGCCACTCGTCCTATGGCTAAAATCTAATCATGCAGCCAGGATGTGACCAAGAGATGAGAGCGTGAGATTTAACTATCGTTGGGATTAAATATAAATTACAATTCGTTCTCTTTCTCTTCGATGGAAGAAGAAACGAGAGCATGTCTCCACATAGTCTCGAGGTCTAATTCGGTCTCCTTAGCTCCTCTTTTCAGAGAAAAGTGACCAGGGCTAGATATGGAAGAGTAATCGCACAATGGGAAGGGAATACCCTAAAAACCCCTAGAACACTCCACAATCACGTGCTCATCTCTGGCTCCACATAATGGACTGCCACTTTCAACCCCTTCTTTTGGGGTCAGCTAGAGCCAGACGGCCTGCCTGTGGTTGGCAGCCTACGGCAACGCCATCGCCATCGCCAACGCCAATGGTAACCGCCACCCGCCCCGACCGACCAGCAACCGACGACGACGATGGCTTAACCATTAATTTACGCGCTAACCATGAAAGTACTTAAATATACAAATGTATCTCTATCTCATCCATCTATCTGTGCACTGCACTCACACGGAGCGTGGTTCGGGGGGAGCTGGACGGAGGCAGAGACAGATATAGGGACTGGGACGGACAGACGGCGACAGAGTGAGTGAGTGGCACCGAGAAACGCCAAAATATTTGCTGCTAATGAGGTCGTGTTGTAATTTCGACTACCACGACAGCCCCTCCACGGTTGCGCCCCCTCTCCACCACCAGCCACAACAGCCCTTCACTCCCACTAAACAACACAAAGCCACCCAGCCACCCAGCCACCCAACCACCCAGCCACACAGCCACCCCTTTCTAACAATCCGTTTAAAGGCCAACCAGCAATTAAAGCGATTTTCGTGCGCGTTTTTTCTCCCCCGTTTCGTTCGCTGGCTCTTTCCTCTCGCGATTAAAAACGCTACTAAGTCGTTAATGTGGTCTGAGTGGATTTGTGCTGGATTTTGCCCCTTTGAACACCACCCCCCGGAACAAACACCTGAAACACCTGGCTGGCTGGCTGGCTGGCTGGCTGGCGGGGTAATGAGTCTGGTAAAGTTTTTGATTGGATTATGAGGCTAAGAAAGTCAGGTGTTAGAGCGTTACGGATTGTTTGTTGGCGTTTTGAGACGCCTGAAAGTTCGGGTTTTGTAGGGTCTAAAGTCGCTTCAAAATGCCTTTTTTGGGGGTAATCTGAGGAGTTTCAAAATATACTGGAAGTTTCGAAAGTTTAGCAATCTAATGTGAAAGGGGTTGAAATTAATTTTTGAAGCACAGATTGAAGCGTTTCGAGTCGCTCGCTCGTTGATCCGTTTTAAAACGCGCATTAAAAACGAGCAAGTTGCTTCATGATTACTTAGTCGGAATTCTTCACAGCCTGCACGACTCTTCTGGCAGGAACACACACGCACACTGGAACACAGACACACACACACATGACTGTTATCCATCTGTGTGGGATCTCTGTGCATCTTCAGCGTTTCCATTTGGGTACGTTTTAAAACGCAGGCAAAACGCCATTGGGGCCTTCTGCTGCTCATTTTGGTTTTTGCACATCTTCCGCTCTCATTTCCCCACATCAGCCGTATCCGCATCTTCATCATCTTCATGTTTGGGGATGTTTTGGGACAGGACGGGGGATAATTAGCAGAAAGTGCTACAAGTGCATCCAGCCAGAGTGCAAGGGGAGAGGCTGGGGGGTTGGCATGGCTGAGTCGCTGTGGCAGAAATAGAGCGATCTAAGTCCGGCAAAGTACCACAAAATTCTTCTTTCTCTTCTCTCTGCTGTCTCTATGTGTGTGTTTGTGTGTGTGTGTGTGTGTTTTGGGAGCGTGTTTGACAATGTCCCCAGTGCGTTGTTAAGCTAATTTGCTTCATTTGTCTAGAAAACTGACACACAGACAGACCGAAGAAGTAGGAAGCTACGGGGCGCCAAAGTGTTGACATGAGGCCATGTTCTCGGGCCTAGTACCAGTAGACGACACTGCTGTTTAGGCCGGGTCCTAGGCTCGCTCTCTGGGCAATGGCACTGGCACTGGCACTGGCACTGGCATGCCATGGCCAACATTAACGGGGCGCCCGCCTGGTCAGTGCAACACGAAAGCCAAGTCAACCAGCTAGGAGCACACAGACACACAGGCACAGGCACAGACACAGAAGCCAAGAATGCCACTAGACCGCCCGCCCGCCCGCCCGCCCGCCTGCCCGACCCTTCCTTCGCCGTTTTGCAACCACTTCAAATTGGTTGGGGCACACAGTGGAGCTGAACAGAACAGAATATGCTATAGGACTGATATAGGGATAAAATAAGTGGTTTCGAATTAGTATTGGTTCTATAAAAATACTAGAAAATACTATAATAATACCGGAAAATACTATAAGAAATACCAGAAAAAAGGAAAAGTTTTGAATGGATTTATATATAGAGAGAATTCGTATTAATACTAGAAAATTTTCATTCAAAAATATTTATTTTAAATACTATTCGGATGCATATGCGAAGAATATTGGCTAATGATTTTTGATCTCCTCAATACATATATTTAATATTTTAACCATAGACTCTGCAGCATATTCCACTGTGCAGTCCGGCTTATCGACTCGGCGATGGCATGGCCAACACCAACCCCATGGCCTGGTGGAGAACCTGGTGAAGGGATGGGGTGGGGGGCTGCCAGCCTAGGCAAAAGTTTCAGCAGCTGGCGTCGCGCTGGTTGTTGTGGCTGTTCTGTGCTGTTCCTCGTTGTCAGCTCGTTTACTCTGGACTCCGGACTAGGCCTGGCGTCCTGGAGTCCTGAAGTCCTGGGTTCCTGGGGTCTGGGCCTGGCTGTGGAATCCATGCAGTGAAAACATGTGTAATTGATCTGATTAAGTTGCCTTTGCCTCTGCGTGTGTTTGTGTGTGTGTGTGTGGGGGAAGAAATATGCCAGGAGCTTGTGCGGCCTTCTCCTACTCAAACAAACACACACACACACACAGGGTGGGACAGTCAGACAGACGGGCGGAGAGGAGAGCTCGGAGGGCATCTCGTAACACCGCTTAGGCTTTGGGTCTTTGGTTTGGTTGGGGGTAGGGATGGCAAGGGGCTTGTTGTCCGGCTATTTGCTGGTACTTACACTATTTGTTGGCCTTGTCCTTGCTGTTGCCACTCCTTGTATCTATTTGCTTGGGCCAGAGGCTTTTGCTGTTTAATGAAACGGAAATATAACATTTTAGTTTGTGGTCAAATATTGTATCATTTTGTTTTTTTGTTTTGTTTGGTTTTTGTTTTTTTTTTATTGTACCACATTCTGTGTGTTCTGCGATACACAGAAGGGCCATTGGCTTTGAATAGAATGTGGATATCCTTTATGATTCAATTGGAATTTATCTGAACAGCAACTGTGAAGTGTATCAACGAGATGAAGCTTTCAAAATAATTATTAAGTTTGGGTTAATGGTTTTCCATTACTATTTCACATTTTTAATGTATCTTCTCCGAGCCTAAGAACTCAATTTCTGAATATAGTACAGAGCTCATATCTACCGCTTGCTGCTTTCATCTGAGATCCTTACGAGCATACAATGTCGAGCACTATCCATCAATTTCCATATAAATGCCATTCGGTTAATTGAATTTCCCCCATTTCGGGAGCCTTCTGCTATACACATTCTCAACAAAACTTCATTTGCATTTGCATTCCACAAAAATAAATAAAATATATGGACAGTGCGTTTCAAAAGTGTTATACTTGAACTGCGTTCCCTGTGCCCTGCCGGTTCCCCTCTGTGGAAAAACCTGTAAAGAGCTTGCCTATCATTTTTTGAAGTATCAGAAGATATATATTTCCGAAACTCCTTGCTTTTAGCTTTCTCTCTGAAAAAGTTTGAAGATCCTTAAAGGTTCTTCCTGCAATGAGGCTGGGAGACAGACGACTACATTTCATTAGCGAAACGCACTGTTCTTTTATTTTTGGACTGCAACTTGTGTGCTATTTGCACGAGTTGCCTCCCTCCCTCTCGAATGCCACCCACAGTTGGAGGCGACTCTCTACAACTCTCCATCAAAACATTTGGAGAGGAACTTTGGGGAAATTTTAATTTAATTTAATTTTTATTTGCCTTGCTGGGCACACATTAAAATTGCAGCATGTAGTTTTTTAATATTTAAATGCACATGCCCCAGTCCTCAAAGCCCTGCCTGCCTTCCTTCTGGTCTATTTTTTTCTGCGAAATTCCCAAAAAAAAAGTCGAATATAAAAAGGAAAGGAAAGGAAAGGACGACATGTGGAGTCCTGTGGGACCGGACAACTATTAACTGCTCTGCGCCTACAGAGCCCCACTGTTGAGGCGGGGTAGGGGCTTTGCTCTGCTATTATTATTATTATTATTATTTTCCCTATTGTCTGGAGCGTTTCCTTCCGCTCGTTGCGTCTGGCCTGGTCAACCATGGGATGCATCCACCCACCCACAGCCCAAGCCCAAGCTCATGCCAGACCGAAAATCCCAACGAAAATCCATGTACACATGTTACACAAACACCACTGAGAGCAAGAGAAAGAGAGAAAGAGGGTTGCCAGAAGATTTACACTCACTTTTCTAGTGTGGGTAAACGAACGAACACACAGTAGAAGTTTTACAACACTGCCACTGCCTATAGCTGTCAAGCTGTCACATTAATTGTTGTGAGAATAAAATCCAGACTACAGACGCAACTCAAAGTAATTTTCTTTCAAATTAAAATCAGGTATAGACTCAGAATAATCTCCCAAAAGCTGTGCTAACTCTGACAAACACACACGCACACAGAATGACCGACCCGAAAGCAAGTGGCAGCCAGAAGAAAGCATCGGGGGCGGTCTGTAAGATCCTCTCAAACACACCCGAAGAGATGAACGACCCCAGCCAGAGTCCGGGTAGGCGCCAGCTTCAGAAATGGTTGGGCCGCCCCATGAAACTTGTCCTCACTGATGGCCGCATCCTGATTGGCGTCTTTTCGTGCACGGATCCGCAGATGAACATTGTCCTGACCCAAGTCAAGGTGCATTCGGTGGAGGGTGGGAAGAGCCGAGCCTTGCCCATCGTCACGGTGGCGCGCAAACACATTGTGAGCATCTGCATTGAGGGCAACTAAAAGCCAGCCCTTCGCTACACATCGTTTTGGATTTCCTTATGAAAAATATATAGAGCAAAAGAAAAAAACCCTTTCATGTGTTTGTTTCTCCCTCTCTCTCTCTCTCTCCCTCTCCCTCTTTCTGAAGGTTATGCCTGAACGTTTTACTGGGAAATCGGAAATTGTAATCGGGAGATTTCTTTTGGGGCAACCCTCGGCATTCGGGCATTTGGGCATTTGCTCTGCATTTATATTGTGGTGTCGCCTGCTCCTGCTTCTTCATCTGCTTTTGCTACTTCATCTTCCCTCTACTTCCTCTGCTTCTGCTGCCTCATTTCCCTCTCCGTCTGCTGCTGGTGCTGCTTCTGCCGTTCCCCTTCCTGCTTTCCTTCTTCTTCTCCTTCTCCTGCTGCATCTTGTTTAGGCGTTTTGTTGTCGACGTGAAACAAAAGTGCAAATGCATATGTGTGCGTGCTTGTGGTGTGTGTGGTGTGTGTGTGTGTGTGTGTGTAAGGGAGAGAGTGCGAGGCAGTGAGAAGGCAGAGCTGTGCCCCTTACCCCTCTCACACTTCTTGGACGATTCTCCGCAAACTTTTGGGCTAAAAGCAAAATATTTCTTGTCCTGCCGTGATCTTCTCGCTCTCTCACTCTGTCTGTCTGCCGGTGTGTGTGTGTGTGTGCCCACACGTGTTTCTTTATTTGTGTTTGTGTTTCTATTTGTGTGCATTTTGTTGATAGTTGGGATTATTTTTGGGGCAATTTATGCGAAACAAGGCGTGGACCCACAGTGCCCCTTTCCCCGCTTCCGCTCGCACTGCTGCTGATGCAGCTGAACCCGGGGCCACGCCCCCTTCTTGTTGTTGCTGTTGTTGTTGTTGTCTGTCACCGCTTTTGTATGCATTTGGGCTTAAATTGAGCAACAATAAGGTTTTTTTGGCCACAACAGCCACAACCCAAACAAAGTCCACTGCAACAAAAACAACAACAGAAAGGAATGGAAAGGAAAAGAAAGCAAAATAGGAACGAGAAAAAACTCACTCCATCTAACTCTCTCTCCTCTCTGAATTATTCTCCATTTCTCAGTGGGGTATCCCTTTTCTAAATTTTATTTTTCTTTGGGCTTTTCTTTGCAGATACAAATATTTGGCTACAATTCCCAGTTATATGCAAATTTCTCAGATGCCCTGAATCGTGCCCAGGGCATTGTGGGCGTCTCCATTCTGCTGCAGGTAAGTCAAGTCATTCAATTCAGTCAATGATCGATACCTATCGATGCCTATCGATGCCCGTTCGATACCAGGCCTATGAACATTAGGGTGGAGTGGAACTGACAAAAAAAAATTCTTTATCTTTTTCTTAACTCCTGTATTGTTAATCGATGACCTCATAAAAATAAAAAATGTGTTAAAAAAAACAAAATTTTATGACTTTATCTGGAGGTTCCGCATGAAGATGGCTTGAAATGTTATCTGCCAAAATAGGGTTTTTTCAAACTTCTGCTGCAGGAAAAAACTAAAAGCAAATTTATAAGTATTACTCTTTGTAGGAACGACAGCAAATAACCAACATAAACTTGAATAATAATTGCATATAATAGTCAAATAGTCCATTAAAATAAATATCGTTCGAACTATTGTACATATATGTTTTCCCGCGTTTTTGCACGCATTTATTGTTTACCCGACGCACTGGCAAGGTGTTTGTAAATATGTAACATTTTCAACCGTGATTGGCATTTGATATATGATATACATACATAAACATAATTCGATAAAACAAACGCAAAATGCCTAAAACTCGACAAGATGTGCGTTGCCTTGTATTTGGCGATCAAAAAAAGTCATCTCTAGCCACAATTATTCACCAATAAGTTGTCAATAGGCTACTTCTATATCACAAAAAGTATCAAGGTGCTAAGAAATTATTTGCAGTCATTAAAAATCAGACTTTTGACATCGCAACATGTAAGTGTGCCTTCAGTATGTCAATGCCCTACCGAATGCCCTCCATCAGAAGAAATATTTATAATTGACCAAAGAAGTGATCGGAAAATGTATATTGGTAATGTGGAAACAACTATGACGAAATCTAGTCAACTTAATCAAATCCGAATGCGAAGGTACGACGAATCTGCTAGGAAAACGGTAGACAGTTTAAGTACGACATCTTCCGTGCAATAGATGAGTTTTTCATCAGATACTTCTTCCAGTGATTCTTCGGAGTCCGATGAAAATGGGAATTTTAAAAATATAACCGAAAAAGAAACAAACAAAATGTCTCAAACAGACAGCCAAAAGATGAGACAGAGTCTGCAAACTGGAGATAGAACTGGAGTTTCTGATCGATCTGCTGCTTTTATAGTAAACGCTACCAGGGTAGACATGAATATGATTAGTCCAGCAACTCATCAAATGTCATATAACGAAGTTTCGTTGAGAGCGCGAAAAAGTTCGCAAAGATTTGCAATCTTTTCAACGAGAAAAACATATTTGGTCGGTCGTAAAGACAAAACTTTATTTATGAAATGTTCTGAAAATATTTCATCTCGAAAAACGATCACCGAAGAGCATATATAAATAATATCTGAGTCGGGGTCATCTTGTTATTGATTCGGGAAAAGCAGCCACAATTGGAAAAAATATTGTCGAATTTTTAGAAAAATCATATGAATATCGTTCATCTCCTGTGACAATTGGATGTGATCGAACTGCTGTGAACGCTGGACATAAAAATCGAGTCGTTTCCTTATTGGAAAAACATCTCAATCGACCCTTGCAGTGGCTTGTGTGCTTGTTGCATGCGAATGAATTACCACTTCGTCATTTATTTATTACTGTGGATGATACCGAAACAGGCCCTAATAGCTTTACTGATAGCTTTTGCTTTAGAAAAATGCTCGAAAAATGTCGTGATTTAAAACCAGAGGCTTTTGATACCATATCAATTAAATGGCCCTGGGACTCTGGCACATTCTCGTTGGCTTACTTGCGCAAACAGGATTCTTCGTGTATGCATAGGAACAGCAAAGCCACCACAGTCTCTAAAAGATCTAACCATTTATGTTATGAAAGTATACGCACCAACCTTGTTTGACATCAAAACAACGTCGACTTGTAAATATGGCTGGTCCACATTTTTAACATTGTTAAAAGGTTTTTATCTGAGAGGTGTTCTAAAGAGCATGGTTTTCAAAACCATTCAAAGAAATTGCATTTTCACACATACAGAAAATATTTTATTGGTCATGTTACAAGATGATGCGTCTCATATAGGGGAACTGGCTATTCGAAAGATACAGAAGGCGCCTAAGGAGGCCAAAATAATTTAAAGCGTGATTTTCAACTTTCAGAACTTCAAGTTCATTCCTCAATTTATTACAATTTAATAGATCGGGCGAAAGAAAAAATAGCAGAGCCTCCGATGACAATGATGTATAGAGACAGCGAAGTTGAAGGCCGGATATCATTAGGTACTGATTTCCTACAATTTAATAAGTTTCCTTGCCACACCCAAACTGTAGAAAGATGTGTGAAGCTTGTGACAGAGGCTTCATTATCCACATACACCAGAAGCCAAGAATGGGTCCACTGTTTGGGACAAAATCTCAATTTTTCCACCAAAATAATATATAGAATATAGAAATTAAATTTGAATGCGGATAAGATATTACATTATTATAATATATAATATTATATTATATACATATTTTTTAAGTTAAAATTTGGCACGGATACGTTTAAGAGTAGGGATCATCGATGAGTAATACAGGAAAAACGAAATAAAAAAATGAACAATTTCACTACGCCCTAATGAACATCCCCTAAAGCTACATACATATGCACATATTTTATTCCTATATATTATATAGCTGGGTGATCTATCCAATCCGGAGCTTCGCATGCTCACCGATCAATTGGAACGCATACGGTATGGCGGAGACGAGGCGTTCGTGAAGCGTCTCTCCATACGCGGCCTACTGCCGGACACTGACCATTACATGACCTACGATGGCTCGACCACAGCACCAGCCTGCCACGAAACGGTCACCTGGGTGGTGCTCAACAAGCCCATCTACATAACAAAGCAACAGGTGAGAGACAGACCTCAGACAATGGCAATACTTCTGAGTGTAAAATCGAAAAGATAATAGTGCCTATCGCTAGATAGAGCTCTCATATAATATGATACGAAACCAGGGATTATCAACCAAGTTATAAGTTGGCTTCTGCTCGAACTGGCAGCAGCAAATAAAGCAAAATTCCCAGCCAAGCGAATTTATGGAGCAGCTTCCGCTGCTTCTGCTGCTCCCCTGCTCCTCTTTGGCCTCCTGCTGCGGCGCCTTAGCTTCCTTCTTTGGATGGTCCTTGCGGGCTGCTCCTTAGCCACCGCCTCCTGTGATCATTTTGAGTGATGACCACCTTAATGTTTGTTAATTAGTATACAGCACTCTGTACTACTGGCCGTTGTCTCTTGTCCGCCAGCTGTCCGCCGTCGTTGTTGTTTGTCTCGTCTGTTTTATTAGCTAATTTCATTTAAGTTTTAAATTAAGTTGCTGCTGGAGCAGCAGCAGCAGCAGCAGCAGGAGAAGTATCAAGAGCGGCAGAGGCACAGGCAGAGGCAACAAAGTGGATAGTGACCATAACTCAAAGAAATGGCGGAAAACACACACACAAACACACTCAAGGAAATGGCGGAAAGCACACAAAAACACACACACACAGGGAGGGGGGAAAAAATTTAACACAAATGTTTATTAAGTGCAGCGGCGCTGTAATAAAGACGCCAACATGCATGCGGCATGAGGCATGCAGCATGAGGAGAGTGTGCAGGAGAATGAAGCGGTTGAATGGTGGCCAGCGGCATACGTGTAAACAATGTAAGAGCTGTGTGAGGAAGGGAGAAAGGAGGCGAGAAAGAGAGAGAGAGAGACAGACACACATGGTTGCATCCACTGGTAGCAGCAGAGAGCAGCAGCAGAGGGGCAGCAGCAGACTCATAAAAACTTCAACAAGCTCAATGGGACCCATGGGCACATGATTACAACTTGTGGCAGCCATGGAGGACCCATGGAGGATGCCCAGACACCGCCAAGCGACGGTGCAATGTAATTTAGTGGCACGGCCAAAGAGAGACAGAGAAAGAGAGAGAGGGAAAGAGAGAGAGAGGAGAAGAGACTGCTGCACCTTGCTGGCAAAACATAATTTACCAAATTAAAGTAACACCAGCACAGGAAAGGAGCAGTAGCAGGGGCAGGAGGAGGATGTGCTCCAGCAGGAAGCTGCGCGACATGAGCTAAAATTGCAATTAACCCATTAACGTTCGCTCTGTCACAGGAAGCCAGCCAGTGATTGTGGGGGGGAAGGCTAGAGGGGCTAGAGAGAACGGTGTAACAAAAGAGAGCAAATTATGGACCGAAAATTCCATATTTTACCCACGAGTATGAAAGATATTTGTGGATCATAAAGACAGATGAGAAATTTATGCTCAATTGATATTTGAAATCACTACAAGATTTATCTGTGTGTGTGTGTGTGTGTCTGTTTTCATGGGTTAATTGCCGCTGTCAGAATATCAGCATAGCACACACAAAACACAGCCGAACCGAACCGAACCGAACCGAAATGTCGCGACGCGTCTCAATTGGAATCCCAAACGTTCATGGCGATTCCATGGCGAATGCCTTGAGTGCCATTTGGTGTTGCATACTTTCGGGCGCCACACACCCCACGCTTCCTACTTAATTCACACTTGAATGGGCACTCGGGGGAAAACCTGTTACCACCCAGCAGCCTCCAGCATCACTCCAGCATCCCTCCTGCATGCTCCATGCTCCATGCTCCATGCTCCATGCTCCGCACTCCTCAATCAACATCAACCCACGCCCAGCCCAGACCAGCCCAGACCAGCCCAGCCCACGTTTGTCGTGAAAAGCGATTTTGACGGAAGTCAATTGATAAACAGATTGAGTAGATTAAGTGTTATTGACTCGATGTCGTTGTTGTCGTTGTCGCTGGATGTCTCATCGATGCTGCTGCTGCTGCTACTCTAGAGGGTGTTCTGGTTGTGTGGGTCTTACTTTGATACGATTTTTATATATAAGTATATTCGAGTATTAAACTTTTGTTGTTGCTGTTGCTCAGCGAGCGCTTATTTTTAGGATTAGCAATTTATGTCAAGCGTGCCTTCAATGGGGCATTGGGTTGGGCAGGGGGAGCGAGCAGGATTGATGCTGTGTGTGTTTGCGAAAAGGTTTATAATTATGCACGTTAAACGCTTTACATATGCGGATACGGATACGGATACGATGGCGGGCCTTATCTACATCTATGCCCAACCATGGGTCGTCTATTGTCTAGAGGAATCATTGATCCACTTCCGCATCTTGCACTTGAGACGTCACAAAGTGTATTAGGGAGCACATGCAGCAGCCCACAATTAAATAAAGAAATAAAATAAAAATATATATGTATACCATTGTGCCATTTACTGCAGAAGTAAATTTGTATATGTGAAAATACTTAACTAAATTTATGTTTGCAGTTGCACGCCCTGCGCCGTCTCATGCAGGGCAGCCCCGACCACCCAAAGGCACCGCTGGGCAACAACTATCGGCCGCCACAGCCGCTGCTGCACCGGGCCATTCGCACCAACATTGACTTCAAAACGACGAAAACGAACGGCAAGGCCGCCTGTCCCACCATGTATCGCGAGGTCTACTACAAAGGTAAGAATATGTCTCACCTAATTTAAGTATTGCCTGCATTTGAATGGAAATTTTAAATGGGGGAACGTAGCTGCAGGAGAGATATGATCCATAAATTGGCTGAATTAATTGATTGAAAGTTCTTCATTCGTGAATTTTAATTGTAAGTATTTTATATGCGAATAGAAGAGACATAAATAGAAGCATATAATTGAAAGAGTTCTAAGGAACGTGTCGGAGGGGCTTAAGGGGCTTCCGGCATTCAGGGATTCATCGTGACACTTTTTAAGTAACTGCTTAAAATATTTTCGTATTTTCTGAGTTATTTTTTATGCATACAACATTTCTTTTTCTCTGCCAAACGTTTTACAGCGACCAGTTGGAAACAGAACTAAGACGTAACTAATGGCCGTTCTGACGTAATGACGTAGTGACGTAACGTAAGCGCAGGACGTAATTAGCGTGCGGCGTGCAACAGGAGCTTCCACTAAACATACATATACAACAACCAACAACCCGGGCGATGCATCGCGATCGAGCAGAGCAGAGAACAAGGAGCGACGTGCGAAAAGGAAGAAAGCGGAGAGAAATACATACACACACGCATATATACTCGTACATACATACATACTTATATGTAGGAGGAGGAGAATAAAGTGGAGAGCCGAATAATATTGATAGCGATTACGATAACGATAACAAGCATTAAATGTGCAAATTTTTTTGTGTCTCTCCCAAATATCAATCAGACTTTGATTGCAGCAGTCAGAGATGCTCGTTGTATTTTTTTTTAGGTGTATGTGTGTGTAGCCTAGCCCTAAATGCAAATACTGCGTAAGTACGATAACGATAACGATAGCCATAGCGATGACTAGTAATCAGAATTACCAGCATAATCATAAACGTAATAGTCAACTCTATAAACCAAAAAAATAATCATAATAATAATAATAATAATATTTACTGTATATTTAATGCAAGGCAAAAGTTGCAAATAAGAGATCAAAATAATAATAATACCAACATACACAAAGGAATATACATACATGCATACATAGGTGTGTTTGTATGGCTGCATCTATCGTAAGTTATGGCGAGCGAAAGCGAGAGAGAGAGCATTATGCTATACCCACCCAAAAACCCCGACTAGTAAGAGGACAGAAAACCATTCTGTTGCTGGCTCGCTTTGTGTGTGTGATTTAGGCGCTGTTACAGTAATAGTCGTAACAATAAAACTCCGATCCGAAAACAATTTAAACATGATAATCTCCCAACCCATTTATATTCAATATAATTTCGAGAAGAATGCAACTAGAAAAAATACGTAAACCTATGCGAGCATATTCTCTCTACGCCGAAAATTCACTTGCTTGCAGCTAGCATAAAATTATACATACACTTCAAGGGAAATCTTTCTCAGACTCTGTAAAACATTTAAATGGACATTTTAGGGGATTTCAGGGAGAGATTTCTGGACTTACCGCTGCCACACATTTAATTCCAATTTTCAAATTATGAATTGGGTATATGGTATATATTTTTTAATCCATAATCCCAATATGCATGACCGAAAATTCCCCCTTGCACCGGCATGTTGCATGCACCACACAAATGCGTGCATTTTGCATTTTAAATGGACTTAACCGCAGCATCCTCCCCAATACCCAACCAACGAATGGGATGGGCAAGGGGAAAGGGCAAGGGGGAAAGGGGAACTTGTGTAACCGGGGGAGAGACCTTATCAAACCCACTTACCAAAAGCCGAGAGCCGAGAGCCCAGAGCCGCCTCGCTGGCAGTCAGACAGTCAGGCAGTCAGACAGTCAGGCGCCTGTCGATTATCGAACAGCAAATGCAACATGAAACCACAAAATCTGTTGCGGTTATTTAAAATCACGTTTAAATACGAAAGTGCAGCCAGTGCGCGGAGCCCAGAGACCGGACTCCGGACTTTGGGCTCCGGACTTTGCACCGCCGGGTGCAGGGGCCCGCATAAAAATCAACTTTTTAATGGTCGAAAGGAAAATGATTACGTATACGCCGCGTTGGCCCCAAATGCTGCATAACTTTTTCCCTAAATGGCAGCCAGACAGCCGCATGGGCAGGGGCAGATGTTTCGGTCTGGGACCTGGCCCTCTCCCTCTCCCTCTCTCTCTCTCTCTCTACGAAATCACATAATAATTTGTATAAATATTTGCATTATTTGCACAAGTTGACATTTTTGTTGCTGGTTTTTGTTTCGCTTCGCATTCTGGTATATATTTTTCGCATTCCGTTGAAACTCTTTCAGCTTTTCATTTGAGTTTTTGTGTGCTGTTTTGTTTTGTTTTGTTTTGTTCTGTTTTGTTCTCTGCTGCGCTGTGCTGCGCTGCGCATCGAGGGATTTGCCAATGGAAAATTATGACTTAAATTAATACATTTCAAATGTAATTTATTTGAGCGAATGAAGCGACAGATACAACCAGCAGCCACAGTCAACAGCAGCAGCAGCAGCAACAGCCAACAGCAGCAGCAGCAGATGCTTCCCCATTCAGTGGCTGATATGATGCCCTGTAAGTGCAGGCAGAAAGTGTGTAAAGAGTCGAAGATGCAGCTAAGATATAGAATGTCCATGGAGTTCCTTACAGTTATGGAATCTTCTTAAAAGGGTATCCAAGAGTCTCGTCCTGCTGCACTCCTGACTGCTGACTGTTGACTAATTAGCCAGGCCCTGGGCCAGGGCCAGGGCAAGGCACAGTCCATCAGCAAACTCAATTCCAACTTTGGCTGACTTTCAATCAATCAAATGGAATGGTGTGGTGCGGGGCGGGGCGGGGCGGGGCGCATTGGCCGCTCTGGCCAAACTGATTTGCGGTGAGTTCTGCATGAAGTTATCCTGCTTCCACGAGGAGCTGAAGGGAAGTGGCTGACCACTGCATCAGGACGGGCCTAGCCTGACATATATTGGCAGGCAGGCAGGCAGGCAGGCAGGCAGGCAGGCGGTCCGGTAGTCCGGCAGGCTGGCAACCAACCACAGAATTTCTGAATTGGAACTCTGTCTCGGATGCGAAGCCTATATTAACCTATATACATATATATCGCGCGTGCAATCCCTTAATTCACTCGATACGAGTATTTGCTTGCCATCAGGTGGCACGGCACTTTGCTCTTAGACCTTCCCCCCATTAATGGCACTTCACACACACACTCCGCTCGCTCTGTGGGAGGCATATGAGGCATTTGCCAACTCTGCCATATGGAGTAGACCTTCTCGAGCAGAGGGTATCGTCTAGTCTGTGTTCTTGGGCCACAGGAAGCGGCATTTTATCGATGCCATAAAAACTGCGGCTGCCCAGGATTTATACGTACTCGTACATATAATTTTTTACACCATTTGTGCATATTTTTTGTTGCATTCATATGCAGATGCGATTGCAGTTGGCCATTTGGCAATTTTTTAACATTTTACAATTTTACCATTTCGACTATTGGTCATTTCGGTGATTATTTTTAATATATTGGCCATTGGGCCACTGTAGACACGGACAAAAGACAACCATCGATCATCGAATCGGGAGCGGGAGCGGGAGTGAATGTCGCTGGAGTGGTGTGTGGTGGGAGGTGAAGGGTAGGGCAGGAAAATATTCCAATTTGACAAAGAGACAAATTCGTTTACAATCATTGCCGAAGAGGTTTAATGATAAGGCAAAGAAATACCCTGTTATCAGTTCCTCTAGATGGAGATGATGGATTGAATATTTAATTGATTTCACTGTGGCACGAGGTTCTGATCGCTTTTGCTCAAGTTATCCCACAGGTAAAGGGCTTAAGATATTAAAGTGTCTCTTTGACAGCACTCTGACTGATTTGCTGATGAATAGAGCGAAGACTCACCCATTCCCAGATCTTTCGCTATAGGCACAGATACAACACGATGGCTAGGGTATTCCCACCAGCAGTTCTCTAAAAAATACCCACTCTCAGATCGCTTCCAGTGCGCACTTCCATGGGAGATTATCATATCTAGTTCTATGTAAACCAGAAACAGAAATAGAACCAGAACCAGAAGCAGAAGCAGATGAGCAGAGAAGCAAAGCCAAACGGCCTTTGGGCTTATGCAACGCAGATTCCATGACTGGTTATGCTAATGCCCCCCCCACAGTCCAACAGTCCCACAGTCCCACAATCCCACATGGTGCGGATGTACATTATCGCATGTGTGTGGGGGTGGGGGTCTGTGCTGCGCTACAATGCTGCAGTTGGGTTATCGCTGTTGTCCACACAAGACTAATTAAATTATGGAAATTAAATTGAATTGAGCATATTTGTTGTTTGCAGTTCATAAATTTCCCACCCTCCTATCCACCATGCCCCCCGCACCAAACTAAAATGTCCAAAGCAGCGGTAGCCCCCATTTCTGCATGCATGTAAATCATTTTACAATAAAATGCATAGCAGCAGCAGCAGCAGCAGCAGCAGCAGCAGGAGTAGGAGTACAGCAGCAGCAGCAGCAGCAGCTCACTTAATTATGACATCATTAATTTTTAATAATGACAATTTTGCGACAATAAATCACTTAACTAACACAAATGCACAGCGGCGAGTGGCGAGCGGCGAATGCGAGAATGGTTAAGTAGGGGTAGTGCAGAGTGGAGTGCCGAGAGTGTGGGGGGTGCCAGCGATATGCATGAAATTAGTAAACTTTAAACAATGCACCCACACAGACGCACAGACACACAGACACACGGCAAATGGGTTGGCAGAGGGGTTGGCAGAGGGTTGAGTGGGGCATAAGCAAATAAACAGATTGACTGTCCCCACAGCCTTGTCCTGGCATTGAGTGATGGCAGCCAGCACACACGACAGAAAGGAGGATGTTGTCCCTGCTCCATGGTCCATGGTCCATGGTTTCTGGTTGTTGCTGTTGCTGTTGGGTGTGCGTGTGTGGGTGGAGGAATGAACTGGCTTCCCTGGGATGAATTTAATTAATCTCGCTACCGTCAGTTGCACACAATTGCAATTAACTTGCAACACTCGCATAATTACAGGCGACCTCATGTTTTGCTACTTATCAGCATCAACATTGACCCAACGACAGCGACAGCAGCAGCAGCAGCAGCAGCAACAGCCAGGAGCCTCATTGAAGCTGCCACTTATGGACCCATTAGTTACCCCCTAAATGCAGGTCAAATTAAGGCGGATCATCCATCAATAACTTCTTTTATCGTTGATTCTGCTGCATATAATCCATGACTGTACGGAGTGGCAAGTGGCGAGTGGCGGGAAAAACGAGCTGCGAGTAGGCGGAATGGCGAGTTAAGTGTGGCAGCGAGTTCGAGAGAAACAAATATCAATATATGAGATCAAAGTGAAATCCCAAGCTTTTCTCTTCTTTCGTTTCTTCATGCCGTCTGTCGCTTTGAGTTAATGGGTATAACGTGCGACAAGCTTTCCCCGACACATGAACTTTCCCTCTCTCTCCCTCTCTCTCTCACTCACTGTCTGTGTGTGTCTGTCTGTGTGTGTGTAGTGGTTGGCTCATTGGTCATTTGGTTGGAGCTCGGTCGGTGTTAGCGGTTGCTCGTCATCGTCATCATCAACGTTGTTGGTGCCAGTGTTGGTCAGCGACTGATTGCAAATGTTGTTGCAGCATCAGACCTGTGGGTGGCAGGGGAGTGGTGGGTTGGGGCGGCTGTTTGTTAATGCCTGTAGAGCACAAAGCTGCTGCTGCTGCTGCTGCTGCTGCTGCTGCTGCCTTGTGGTTGAGTGAGGCACCTGCCGCAGAGTTTCCACCTACACATGCCACATGCCTTCACTTCACTTTACTCCCCCGCTACCCACTAACCCATCCCATCCCATTGCTGATGTCGCTGCAAATTAACATTTTGTAACGCGTTTCGGTTGCTGCCGTGTTTTCATTTCACACTTTCCCTCCGATGCGA